GTTTGATAGTGTGTGTGTGAGAGGGTTTGATGGCGAGTGTGAGAGAGTTTGATAGTGAGTGTGAGAGGATTTTATGGGGAGTGTGAGATGTTTTATGGCGAGTGTGAGACGTTTGATGGCGAGTGTGAGTGAGTTTGATGGTGAGTGTGAGAGGGTTTGATGGCAAGTGTGAGAGGGTTTGATGGCGAGTGTGAGAGAGTTTTATGGTGAGTGTGAGAGGTTTGATAGTACTCTAAGGCGTACTTGATAGTGTGTGTGAGAGAACTTGATAGAGTGTATAAGGGGTTACATTTTCTGATTGGCCCAGAGAGTTATCATTTAAATTAGCAGTTTCTGATTCGGTCATAGTCAAATATGCACGTTCCCCATGTGCGGTAGTTCACTCTTAAAAACAGATGGTTCTTCAAAGATCCTAAAGACAGTGGTTCTGTATAGAACTAGGATTACAAAAGAACCATTTGCCTGATTAAAGAGCTATTTGTATGATGAAATGGTTCTTCAGATTGATAGACAATGTACTGTAGATGGTATGACTGAATTCTTTTTGGTGCTGTATCGGTCCATGTATTCTCGTTGTTTATTCTGTTATTGTCAGTGGAAATTTCACAACGTCCTTACCAGGGCTGCAGAGCGTTGAGAGAAACAGCAGGAAAAGCAGTCAAAGAAGTATATAAATCCACAGCTCCCCCCCCCCACCAGTTAAACCAGTTAACTAAACCAGAGTTAAACCAGTTCTTTGTGCGGTTCGACAACGGTTCCTCTCCTGCTCCATTGTGTCTGTCTCCTACGCAGATTAACACGCCTACACAACTACGCCATGGGCCATCCACAGCCTCACCTTCCTCCACCACAGCGACTCACACCTGTGACCATCAGCAACCACTGTCTGCAATGGACACCTTTCATCCTCCCCCCACAACTGGAATGTGCAGTGATGTTACATTCACTGCTAATCAGGTGAAGAAAACTGAAAAAACTCAAGCAGAGCAAAGCAGCGGGACCTGATGACATTGAACCCAGGGTGCTGAAACTGTGTGCGGAGCAGCTGTGTGGAATTCTTCAGCACATCTTCAATCTGAGCTGCAGCCTGAAGAGAGTCAGGATGGCATTGGAGTGGATGATGCAGTTATCTACCTGCTGGACAGAACGTACTCTCACCTGGACACATCAGGCAGCACTGTGAGGATCATGTTCTTCGATTTCTCCAGTGCATTCAACACCATACATCCTGTGCTGTTAGGGGAGAAACTACGGCTGATGCAGGTGGATGAATCCATCATCTCATGGACAGTGGACTATCTGACTGGATGACCCCAGTATGTGCGACTGCAGGGCTATGTCTCGGACATGGCTGTGTGCAGTGTTGGGGCACCCCAGGGAACTGTGTTAGCTCCATTCCTGTTCAACCTGTACATCTCTGACTTCAGGTACAACACAGAGTTGTGTCATCTGCAGAATTTCTCGGATGACACGGCCATTGTGGGGTGCATGAGGAACGGACAGGAGGAGGAATACAGGAAGCTGGTTAAGGACTTTGTTGACTGGTGTAAGCTGAACCAGCTGCAGCTAAACGTCAGTCAAACCTGCCTCGTCACCAGTCATCATTGATTGAGCTGGACTGGAGCTGTAACACTCGCAGTGTACAAGAGAGGCCAAAGCCGTCTCTAATTCCTGAGGAGGCTGAGGTCTTTTGGTGTGAGCACTAAGCTCCTATGGTCATCCTACCAGTCTGTTGTAGTGACTGCTCTATTCTGTGCTGTTGTGTTCTGGAGCAGCAACATCAACAAACAAAATTCACAAACTTATTAGGAAGGCTGGCTCTGTTGTTGGAGTCAAGCTGGACTCTTTGGAGTTTGTGGCAGAACAGAGAACGCTTAACAAGCTGTTAGCCATCTTGGACAACACCTCACACCCCCTGCATGCTACACTGGATAAACAGAGAAGCTCATTCAGTGGCGACTGTTACAGCTGCGCTGTGTTAAAGGCTAACTAGCCTAGCACTGTGATTTAGCGCTAACTAGCCTAGCACTGTGATTTAGAGCTAACTAACTGAGCCGTGTGATTTAGCGCTAACTATCCTACAGTGTGATTTAGAGCAAACTAGCCTAGCAATGTGATTTAGTGCTGACTATCCTACAGTGTGATTTAGCACTAACTAGCTTAGCACTTCGATTTAGCACAAACTTGCCTAGCATTGTGATTTAGAGCTAACTAGCCTAGCAGTGTGATTTAGAGCTAACTAGCATTAGGATTTAGCACTAACTACCCTAGCACTGTGTTTTAGCACTAACTAGCCTATCATTGTGATTTGGAGCTAACTAGCCCAGCACTGTGATTTAGAGCTAACTATCCTACAGTGTGATTTAGCGTTAGGTTGCCTAACATTGTGATTCAGACTTCACTAGCCTAGCATTGTGATTTAGCGCTAAGTATCCAACAGTGTGATTTAGAGCTAATTAGCATTATGATTTAGCGCTAACTATACTACAGTGTGATTTAGAGCTAACTAGCCTAGGGGTGTGATGTGGAGCTAACTAGCCTAGCATTGTGATTTAGAGCTAACTAACCTCGTACTGTGATTTATAGCTAACTAGCCTAGCAGTGTGATATAGAGTTAATTAGCATTATGTTTTAGCGCTAACTTTCCTACAGTGTGATTTAGAGCTAACTAGCCTAGGGGTGTGATGTGGAGCTAACTAGCCTAGCATTGTGATTTAGAGCTAACTAACCTCATACTGTGATTTAGCGCTAACTAGACTAGCAGTGTGATTTAGTGCTAAATAACCTAGGGGTGTGATTTAGAGCTCACTAGCCTAGCATTGTGATTTAGCAGAAACCTGTCTAGCATTGTAATTTAGAGCTAACAGCTCTAGCACTGTGATTTAGTGCTAACTATCCTACAGTGTGATTTAACGCTAAGTTGCCTTACAATGTGATTCAGACTTCACTAGCTTAGCACTGTGATTTAGAGCTAACTAGCCTTGCATTGTGATTTAGAGCTAACTAGTCTAGCATTGTGATTTAGCGCTAACTATCCTACAGTGTGATTTAGCTCTAACTAGCCTAGGGGTGTGATTTAGAACTAACTAGCCAAACAGTGTGATTTAGCGCTAATTAGCCTAGGGGTGTGATTTAGAGTTAACTAGCCTAGCACTGTGATTTAGAGCTAACCAACCTAGAACTGTGATTTAGCCCAAACTTACCTAGCCATGTGATGTAGAGCTAATTAGCCTAGCAGTGTGATTGAGTGCTAACTAGCTTAGCACTATGATTTAGTGCAAACCTGCCTAGCATTGTGATTTAGAGCTAACTACCCTAGCAGTGTTATTTAGAGGTAACTAACCTAGAGGTGTGATTTAGCGCTAACTAGCCTAGCACTGTGATTTAGAGCTAACTAGCCTTGGAGTTTGATTTTTGCAGTGTACCATAGCAGCGCAAATAACAGTTAACTAGCCTGACACTGTGATTTAGTGCTAACTAGACTAGCAGTGTGATTTAGAGCTAACTAGCCTAGCACTGTGATTTAGAGCTAACTAGCCTAGCATTGTGATTTAGAGCTAACTAGCTTAGCATTGTGTTTTAGAGCTAACTTGCCTAGCATTGTGATTTAGAGCTAACTAGCCTGGCATTGTGATTTAGAGCTAACTAGCCTAGCTGTGTGATTTTGCGCTAGGTAGCATAACAGTGTGATTCACACTTCACTAGGCTAGCATTGTGATTTAGCGCTGACTATCATACAAACTGATTTATAGCTAACTAGCCTAGCACTGTGATTTAGTTAACTAGCTTACCAGTGTGATTTATAGCTAACTAGACTCGCAGTGTGATTTAACGCTAACTATCCTACAGTGTGATTTAGCTCTAACTAGCCTAGGGGTGTGATTTAGAGCTAACTAGCCAAACAGTGTGATTTAGCGCTAATTAGCCTAGGGGTGTGATTTAGAGTTAACTAGCCTAGCACTGTGATTTAGAGCTAACCAACCTAGAACTGTGATTTAGCCCAAACTTACCTAGCCATGTGATGTAGAGCTAATTAGCCTAGCAGTGTGATTTAGTGCTAACTAGCTTAGCACTATGATTTAGTGCAAACTTGCCTAGCATTGTGATTTAGAGCTAACTACCCTAGCAGTGTTATTTAGAGGTAACTAACCTAGAGGTGTGATTTAGCGCTAACTAGCCTCGCACTGTGATTTAGAGCTAACTAGCATAGCATTGTGATTTAGAGCTAACTAGCTTAGCATTGTGTTTTAGAGCTAACTTGCCTAGCATTGTGATTTAGAGCTAACTAGCCTGGCATTGTGATTTAGAGCTAACTAGCCTAGCTGTGTGATTTTGCGCTAGGTAGCATAACAGTGTGATTCACACTTCACTAGGCTAGCATTGTGATTTAGCGCTGACTATCATACAAACTGATTTATAGCTAACTAGCCTAGCACTGTGATTTAGTTAACTAGCTTACCAGTGTGATTTATAGCTAACTAGACTCGCAGTGTGATTTAACGCTAACTATCCTACAGTGTGATTAAGTGCTAAATTGCCTAACATTGTGGTTTAGACTTCACTAGCTTAGCATTGTGATTTAGCACTAACTATCCAACAGTGCGATTTAGAGCTAACTAGCCTAGCATTTGAGTTACAGCTAACTAGCCAAACTGTGTATTTTAGCGCTATGTAGCCTAACAGTGTGATTCAAACATCACTAGCTTAGCATTGTGATTTAGTGTTTACTCTCCTAGGGGTGTGATTTAGAGCTAACTAGCCTACCATTGTGATTGAGAACTGATTAGCCTAGCACTGTGATTTAGAGCTAACTAGCCTAGCATTGTGATTGAGCGCTAACTAGCCTAGCAGTGTGATTTAGCGCCAACTATCCTATAGTGTGATTTAGCGCTAACTAGCCTAGGGGTGTGATTTAGCGCTAACTATCCTACAGTGTGATTTAGCGCCAACTATCCTATAGTGTGATGTTGAGCTAACTAGCCTAGGGGTGTAATTTAGTGCTGGTTAGCCCAGCATTGTAATTTGGCGCTAAATATTCCTCTGTGTGATTTAGTGCTAACTATCCTACAGTGTGATTTAGAGATAGCTAGCCCAGCATTGTGATTTAGCACTAATTATCCTAGAGTGTGATTTAGCGCTAACTAGCCTAGCAGTGTGATTTAGTGCTAACTAACCTAGGGGTGTGATTTTAGTTTTATCTGGACTGTAAGGTCTGAAGGGTGTTTTATACCGTAATGATCTGTTTTAGTCTTTATTTTAGTTTAGTTTTATCTGGACTGTAAGGTCTGAAGGGTGTTTTATACTGTAATGATCCGTTTTAGTGTTTAGTTTAGTTTTATCTGGACTGTAAGGTCTGAAGGGTGTTTTATACTGTAATGATCTGTTTTAGTCTTTATTTTAGTTTAATTTTGTTTTGATATGAAGTTTAATGAATGTATAAATGTGTGTGTTTGTTCTTCAGGGTGGATCATGGAGGGAAGATCAGGATCAAACCAAGACTGAAGAAATGTAACACACACACACACACAAACTACACACACACACAGACACACAAATACATACACACACACACACACACAGACACATACACACACACACACACACACACACAATCACACACACAAACTACACACACACACACACACACATACACACATACACACACACACACACACAGACATACACACAGATACACACACACACAGACATACACACACACACACACACACACAGATACACACAGATACACACACACAGACATACACACACATACACACACACACAGACATACACACGGACACACAGATACACACACACACACACACACACATACACACAAACACACACACAGATACACACACAAACACATAGATAAACACACAGAGGAGACACAACACAGAGAAAATTTAATGTGTGTGTGACTCTGTAAGATATGAATATGTGTATGTGTTTGTATGATTTATATATAAACGTGTGTATGTATTTGTGTGTATGTGTGTGTGTGTGTGTGTCGTGTGTGTGTGTGTGTTTGTGTATCTGTGTGTATCTGTGTGTAACTGTGTGTGTGTTTGTGTATCTGTGTGTATCTGTGTGTGTGTGTATACAGATGCTGTTAATCTCACTCTGGATCCAAACACAGTGGACAGTCGTCTCTCTCTGTCTGAGAGGAACAGAGAGGTGAAGTGGGTGAGAGAAGATCAGTCGTATCCAGATCATCCAGCCAGATTTGAGTACTGGTCTCAGGTTCTGAGTGTGGAGAGTCTGACTGGACGCTGTTACTGGGAGGTTCAGTGGAGTGGATGGGTTTATATATCAGTATCATACAGAGGAATCAGGAGGAAAGGAGGCAGTAATGACTGTGTGTTTGGATTCAATAATCACTCCTGGAGTCTGATCTGCTCTAATAAGAGATACTCTGTCTATCACAATAATCAGAGAACTGTCCTACCTGCCCCCCCCTTCCCCTCTAACAGAGTAGGAGTGTATCTGGACTGGGGGTCCAGCACTCTGTCCTTCTACACCATCTCACCTAACACACACACACTGACCCACCTACACACACTCACCACCACATTCACTGAACCGCTCTACGCTGGATTTAGAGTTTATTATGACTCCTCAGTGAGTCTGTGTGAGGTAGAATAACCTGTACAGAGAGAGAGAGAGAGAGAGAGAGAGAGAGAGACAGAGAGAGATACAGATAGAGAGAGAGAGACAGAGAGAGAGAGAGAGAGAGAGAGAGAGGGAGTGGGGGGGTGGGGTCAGGTTGGTGAAAATGTGTTTGTTGTTTATCAGTTTGATCTCAGACTGTAAATATGAGAGAATTCAAACCTTTCTGTGTTTAAATTATTCAGAATAAATAAAGAGAATAAAATAAACTGTTTTCTCTAAAATGTGATTCAGAAAAAGATTCACTAAACAGAACAAACACACATATTTATACACACACACATTAACACAAACACATTACACATTTACACACACACACACATTTACACACACACACTCAAACACGCACTCACACACATAAATCTCACTCACCAGAGAAATGTTATTATTTTATTTAAAGTAAAGTATTATTTTATTAAAGTCAGTAATAAAGTATTTTGAAGGGAATATAAACCTACACTGTATAAAGAAATTGTAAGATAAAGCTCACGAGGCTATCAGCAAGCAGATGACCGCGCGCCCGGAGGCTGCACTTATTGTTGCGGGGGACTTTAATCGGAATAACCTGCGAACCTACTGTCCGACATTATTCCAGCACGTAACATGTTTCACTCGGAAAGACAGGATTTTAGACCATGTTTACTCCAGCATCCGGAACTGTTACAAATCCCTCCCCCGACCCCCGTTCGGCAAATCAGATCACTCCTCCATCCTGCTCCTGCCCACCTATAGGCAGAAGCTGAAACGGGGGCCGGTCACTACCAGGGAGGTGCGCCGCTGGTCTGACCAATCAGACGCTATGCTGCAGGATTGTTTTGATCATGTGGACTGGGAAATGTTCCGTGATTCGTCGGGCAGCGTTGACGAGTACGCAGACACAGTCATTGCCTTCATACGCAAGTGTGTGGATGACGTAGTGCCCTGCAGACAAGTCCGCGTTTACCCCAATCAGAAGCCCTGGCTGAACTGTGAGGTTCGCTCCGCCCTCAGCACACGTAGCGCTGCATTCAGAGCGGGAAATACGGAGGAGTACAAGCAATCCAACTACGCTCTCCGTAAATCCATCAGAGCAGCTAAACGCGCGTACAGAGTGAAAGTGGAAGCACAGTTCAACACAGCCAACACACGAAAGCTTATGGCAGGGGTTAAATACAGTCTCTGACTATAAAACTGCCTCTCGCACTCTGCCCAGTACCAGCGCTGATCTGCCGGATGAGCTTAATAACTTCTACGCTCGCTTCGACGGAATTCCCGCAGCACCACTGGAGAGCGCCCCGCCCACCGCTGATCCCAACCCCCCCTCCGTCTCCGTAGCTGATGTGTGCAGAGCCTTCAAGAGGGTGAACCCACGCAAGTCAGCAGGACCAGATGGCATTCCCGGGAGAGTGCTTAAAGCCTGCTACAGGAAACTAGCAGGAGTTTTTGCAGACATTTATAACACCTCACTGTCTCTCTCGGTCGTGCCAGCTAGTTTCAAACTAGCCACCATTGTGCCAGTTCCAAAGACAGCTAGTATTACCTGTCTGAACGACTGGCGACCTGTTGCCCTGACCTCCATCTTAAGCAAATGCTTTGAGAGGCTGGTCAGGGATATCATCTGTTCCTCACTGCCTGCCACCCTGGACCCACTGCAATTTGCATATAGGCGGAATAGATCCACCAACGATGCAATCGCCCTGACCCTGCACACTGCCCTCTCCCACCTGGAAAAGAAGGACACGTATGTGAGAATGCTGTTTGTAGACTACAGTTCAGCATTCAACACAATCGTTCCTTCGAGGCTCGACTGCAAGCTCCGGGATCTGGGTCTGAACAGCACACTGTGCAGCTGGATCCTGAACTTCCTGACGGACCGACGGCAGGTGGTAAGGATGGGAAATTTTCACATCCTCTTCTTTGACCCTCAACATCGGAGCCCCCCAGGGTTGTGTGCTCAGCCCGCTCCTGTACTCCCTGTACACCCATGACTGCACTGCTAGACACAGCTCCAACGTCATCATAAAGTTTGCTGACGACACAACAGTTGTGGGCCTGATCTCCAACAACGATGAATCGGCCTACAGAGAGGAGGTTAAAATCCTGGAAAACTGGTGCCAGGAGAATAACCTCTCTCTAAACATCAGTAAGACCAAGGAGCTGATCGTGGACTTCAGGAAGCAGGAGAGAGTACACCCATCGATTTCCATCAATGGGACTGCGGTAGAGAGGGTCAGCAGCTTTAAGTTTCTCGGTGTTCACATCAGCGAGGACCTGACATGGGCAGTGCACACCTCACAGGTGGTGAAGAAGGCCCACCAGCGCCTCTACTTCCTCAGAAGGCTGAGGAGGTTTGGCCTGAACCCCAGCATCCTTAAGACCTTCTACACCTGCACTGTGGAAAGCATCCTGACGGGCAGCATCACCACCTGGTACGGGAACTGTACTGTTCGTGAGAGGAAATCTCTGCAGAGGGTGGTGCGGACAGCACAGTCCATCACCGGGGTTCAGCTCCCTAATCTATTGGATTTATACACCAGCCGCTGCCTGAGGAAATCCAGAAGGATTATGAAGGACCCCTCCCATCCTAGCCACTGTCTGTTCTCTCAGCTGCCGAGTGGTAGGAGGCTCAGAAGCTTAAAAGCCAGAACCAGTCGGCTCAAAGACAGCTTCTTCCCCCATGCAACCAGGCTATTGAACAGCCAGTAATCACTGCTCTGCCCAGCCCAACCCTTCCCATTACACGTACGTGCACCCACTGTACTCCCGCACTTTGCTTGCATAGTTGGACTTTGAATACCTATCCAAAGACAATACTCTCCCCCTGCGCTTCCACTTAACTTCCTGTACCTTGCACTTTACTAAATACTCTGCCACCTACTGTACCATCTTCTACCTCCACACCTAGTGTGATTATTTGCACATCTACATAGCATTGTAATATCCATTACTATATATAGTATATAGTTGATTACACCCACCCTACATTCCCAGTGCAATATTATATGTCTCGGTGCACTATTATTATTTTTAAGTTATTGTGTAAGATTATATGTATATATTTTAGTTAAATTGGTTTTATCTATTCTTCTATCCTATCTATAGTTTTGTTTATCTATGTTGTAAATACTGTTCTCTGCATAATTTGTGGAACTCGCACTCAAGTTTTTCACTCACCTGTGTCCCTGTACTCTTGTGATGTGACAATAAATCTGATTTGATTTGATTTGATTTGACATGACTGTGTTGGTTCAATGGTGACTGGTGTTACGGTAAATTCAGTCCCCCTGTGTCCCCTCATTGCGCATATCTAAATCATGACGTCTTCAGCTGACGCTGCACTGCAGGGCTTAGATGGTCTGACTGTCTGAACTGAGTCTGAGGAGGATGTCGTCCAATCTTTAATGTCCTACACATCACATTAATCTAAGATTAATGTTCATTAATTTTATACAGTTTTATACAGTTGTATGTAACACAGCTCATAAACTGTGTGGTTTGGGTCAAATTTGAAGTGGCCAGTTTAGCAGCTTCCATACAAATGAACACAGGCACAACTTTGTAATTAACATCTGGCCAACACAACACAGAGCCCTGATAGAGCTCTTTCTGCTGGTTGGAGAAAAAATCAGTTTTGGTTCATATTGTGACTCATTAGGTTAAAATAAGTATTTTTTCTTCAGATTTTCAAAAATAAAGTCTCAATAATCTCATTACTCAACAAGGAAGCGCATAATTATTTTATAATGAGTAATTATTTTGAGAAAATAAGATTATTTGAGTCAGAAAATTCTGGAAAATATTTATTCATTTGGACTTTCTGATTTGGAACACCTGCTCATCTCAGATGAGGTTGAGTTCAGTACATTTGGAAACTGTGAGATATTGTACATTTTTAAAACTTGCTCTTAAGACACTTTGTTGAGTGTAAATAGACCCAAAGTTTCAGGAACAGCAGTTTGAAACTGCACACAGTCAGTATTAACTGGTATTCACCATCAGCCCACTGTGAGAGAGATCAGAGTAGGTGCTGTTTATGGTGCAGAAAACTTTAGTAAATTTGTTCTTTAGGCTCGTGTTTCATACAGAACTCGCAGATTTACACTTGAAACTGGATCTACAAGCTCAGAACATCAGGTCCTCTGTTTACTCCAGATCACCCAGAGAAGGTCGGGGCTGATTCCACTTCAAAACATCTACTGCATTAAGAGTCTGCTGGTATGTTTGAGTTCAGTCTGTAATGAACCCTGAAAGCCACGCCCCCTACCAGAGTCTGATGTCTGATCACTGTATTCTCAGAAAGTAATTCAGGCTTCTGTTTTCAGCTTCATGCTAATGATCTTTAGTCCATGTTTATAATAACAGTGAGTCATACAGAGTCAGAAACCACATAATCAAGACTATTAGAGACACTGAAGACCTCCACACAGGAGCTTCAGGGGTTTTAGCTGCACTGTGTCCTCAGTGTAGAGGTCTGCACTCCCACAGGACCCGACACAATATCTGGTGGCAGGGGAGTAATTTTCAGTGTTGCTCGCAGGAGCAGGCGGGAAAAAGCATGCATGAAGAGAAATCCCACAAATTAATGAACAGCCTAAATAAAATAGAACAATCACTAAATCATATATATAAACAATATAGAAAGAAAACAGTAAAACAATTAAAATGTCATTCTAAAGAGCTGTGAAGCAGCTGATCACATAAACATTCTCTGGGATTCATTGTCCCAGAGGAAACAGCTCAAAACAGACATTAACGTCACCCAGCGCTCACAGTAACACTGTGGTTTAATTCCTGCTCTTAAATGGTGAATAAACGCCGTTTGGTGAAGTTACTCACAGTGAGCCCGATGACCATGACTGTCATGTTATTTCAGCAGAGAATAATGTATCTGTGATTAGACTGTGTCAGATATTAGATGTCAGTTTGCCTTGACGAGACTGCACGGGCGGAGGTGGGACAAAACGTTCAGTCGTGGGAGGGAGCGGGACAAATGATTCAGATTTTCTGCTGGACTGAAAATACAGTCCCGCAGAGACCTCTACTCCAGGGCAGCAGACTGGAATGTGTTCTGACCGGTTCCTGCCGTTTAGAAAGCTTATCGGATAATCACTGGGTCTGGACAGGGTGAAGCACAGACTGTGTGTATGTAAGGGAACAGAGAGGTCTGATGAGAGCTGTTCTGAACTGTTCTCTCTAAACTAATCCTGCTCATCCTGATGAACACAGACCTGAACTTCCTTCTTTACTGAG